TCTTTAGTGCCTTTAGAGCCTCAGAACCTTTAGAGCCTCAGAACCTTTAGAGCCTTAGAACCTTTAGAACCTTAGAACCTTTAGAGCCTTAGAGTCTTTAGAGCCTCAGAACCTTTAGAGCCTTAGAACCTTTAGAACCTTAGAACCTTTAGAGCCTCAGAACCTTTAGAGCCTTAGAACCTTTAGAGCCTCAGAATCTTTAGTGCCTTTAGAGCCTCAGAACCTTTAGAGCCTTAGAACCTTTAGAACCTTAGAACCTTTAGAGCCTTAGAGTCTTTAGAGCCTCAGAACCTTTAGAGCCTTAGAACCTTTAGAACCTTAGAACCTTTAGAGCCTCAGAACCTTTAGAGCCTTAGAACCTTTAGAACCTCAGAATCTTTAGTGCCTTTAGAGCCTCAGAACCTTTAGAGCCTTAGAACCTTTAGAGCCTCAGAATCTTTAGTGCCTTTAGAGCCTCAGAACCTTTAGAGCCTTAGAACCTTTAGAACCTTAGAACCTTTAGAGCCTTAGAGTCTTTAGAGCCTCAGAACCTTTAGAGCCTTTAGAGCCTCAGAACCTTTAGAGCCTTAGAACCTTTAGAACCTCAGAATCTTTAGTGCCTTTAGAGCCTCAGAACCTTTAGAGCCTTAGAACCTTTAGAGCCTCAGAATCTTTAGTGCCTTTAGAGCCTCAGAACCTTTAGAGCCTTAGAACCTTTAGAACCTTAGAACCTTTAGAGCCTTAGAGTCTTTAGAACCTCAGAACCTTTAGAGCCTTAGAACCTTTAGAACCTTTATGGACCCCAAACATTTAGAGGCCCACAACCTTTGCAGTATTTAGAGGCTCAGAAACTTTAGACTTTAGAGCCCCCAAACCTTTAAAACCCCACATCCTTTGCAGCCTTTAAAGCCTCAAAAACTTTAGAGCCTTTAGCGCCCCACAGCCTTTATGTTACGTTCACACCGAACGCATTTTGAGCTGCATGAGCAGCCAGTTTACATGCAAAGTCTATGGTGGGCGCGCCTCTAGGGGTCTCGCGGCACATGTAGTCCGTGCACAATGAAACGGAAGGTAGCGGCAGAGCATTTTTCGTGCATGCAGTGCGTTCAAAGCAGCCGACGCTGGAGTTCAAAATTGAACTGTTGTTGCTCGACACGTGGCGTCAACCAGTCGGAGAGACTCATTTTTCCACTTGACGGTTTCTTGAATATTGCCCTCTAACCTGAAACAGATGGACAGGAGCTCTTTAGCTGAAATTGACCATCTGTAGTTGGTGTTCTGGCTGGAGATATCGGTACCGATGTGGGTCAACAGATCGTTAAACTGACCGCAGTGTTAAACTGGGCTCAGGACAAAAAAATAGTTTGTCAGCTTGCAGCTCCTGGAGTGGTGAAACTAACCGAACAAACCGTCTCTAAATTATCTGGTGAATTAATTATCTGGTGAGCGCAACGTTCACTTGCTCTTTAGTAAATAAAGCAAAGCCATTTTCTTTTTTTTTTTATCTTTATTTCATCTGCCGTTTAGACAGACTGGAAAAAAAAAAACAATACTCTCCTCCCTCTTCAGACGCGCCTCTAGTCTGTGTCCCGATCTGAACATAGCACGTCCATAGGCATTGGGAGCATTTTTGCTGCTCAAAATGTGTCCGGTGTGAATGTACCATTACAGCTTTTAGAGCCCTCAAACCTCTAGAGCAGGCATGTCAAACTCAGTTTGGCTCTGGGGCCGGATCCAGACTTTCTGTTCTCAGGTGGGCCGGATCAGTAAAAGAATGTCAACTCCAAATATTTAGCTTTGTTTTTCAGTACTATGCTTTATCATTCAGCCTACATTTGTAGCCTACCCTACATATTATAATCATGGATGACAAGGGATCTTTTCTAAGCACAACACATTTATTCACAAACAATGGAAAAAAAAAATGATTTTCATGTTTGGCATTGAATGT